AGAATAAAATAATGTCAAATATTTCAACCTTCTTAACAAAACAAGAATTTAAAAACCTCTACGGAGAGAGAATTTATATCATTACACACCATTTGGAAAAATTATACAAGAAAAGAACAATAGAAAAACAAAATATTAGATTTCTTGTACAATGCAAACAACATAACCTAATACCAAATGGGTTCAAATTAAAGAACAACACGAATTTGAATAAAAATGAAAAAGTATTAAGACAAACTATGTACAAAATCAGAAACAACACCTTACAACATAAACAAAATCAATTAAGATGTATTAATATGGAAATTAACACGCAGAACTCAATATTAAATCATTATTTCAAAACATCACAACCAACACGACAACATCAAGATGATCTGAGATGGATAAATAAATTTAATGAAAATTTTGAAAATAAGTTGATAAAAAAGCACGATAAGAAAATAAAACTATTAAAAGAAAAACAAGTGCAACCACAATCAACAAAACCACAAACAACAAAACCGATGAATTCAAAAATAACATATGATACATCAAATGTTATTAACATATCGAAGATTCATTTAAGTCAACAACAATTAAAAGTAATATCAAAAGGATTAAAATTTGTTCCAACACCAACATCAATTAATACAATAACAACAGTGGTAAATTGTGAAAAATCCTTATTTTCGACATCAAAATTAATAAAAAGTGCAGCAATATCAGAAATATCAACATTTATTCAAAAATGGAGAAAACCTACTAAATTCAATATGAATAAAGAGGAAGTAAAATTATTAAAAGAAATAAAAACAATTGAAGATATTGTTATAGTTCAAGCTGATAAAGGTGGCAAAATAGTTGTTATGAACAAAAACGATTATTTTAATAAAATTGAAGAAAAATTAAATGATTTGAACGTTTATGAACAAGTGAAAAAAGATCCAACAACAATAATCAAAACAGAAATCAACAAAAAGGTTACCAAGATGTTAAATCAAAACAAAATTACAGATCAAAATAAATATTATTTAACATCAATCGATGATCTTCCTAAAATTCGTGGTCAACCTAAACTACATAAAATTGATACTCCGATGAGAATTGTTACTTGTTCACGAGACACAATAACATCACCAATCTCTCAATTCATATTTAGAATAATTAAAGAATTAAGAACAACTTTAAATGGTGTGGTATGTAATACATCAAAGTTTGTCAAAATTATTTCAGATGTTAAATTAAATCAAGACGAACATTTAGCAAGTCTTGATATTCAAGATTTATATACAAACATACCAGTTAGCAAAGCCATCGATATTACATTAAAACGACTTGATGAATCCAAGAAATTGGATAATTTACCATTTACCAAAACTGATATTAAAGAGCTGCTAAATTTAGCCTTAAAGAACAGCTATTTTCAATTTAATGGTAAATTTTACAAACAAAAAACAGGTTTACCTATGGGTAATACATTATCACCAATACTAGCCGACATATACATGGATGAATATCAAAAACAACATTTACATGAAGTAAACATTCCAAATAAAATATGGAGATATGTTGATGATATTCTAATCATTACAAAAATGAATAAACCACAATTGGAAAAATATGTATATGATTTAAATAAAATATGTGGAACAATTAAATTTACCTCAGAATTTGAACAAAATGATCAAATAAATTATCTTGATACAATGTTAACAAAAACAATAATAAATAATGAAATAATACTTAAAGTTAGATGGTTCCGAAAAGATACAGCTGCAGATAGGCTATTAAATTATGAATCAAGTCATGGAAAATCCATCAAAAATAACATCGTTAAAAATATGACTGCAAGGATTTTAGAAACAACTCAAGACAACAAAGATCAACAACCCAGGTCCAAAAATCCGACGACGGATCCTATCGGATCCGATCGGACCCGAAAACCGACAAAAATCCGATCGGAATCCGGGTTACAGAATTCCGATCGGATCCGACAATCGGATACTCATACGTTTCCGATAATTTCCGATTGTCGAAATCCCCATTTATTCCGACGGTCGGATACCGATCGGATTTCTATAGGATTATATCAATCTTTCAACCGAGGTCCAAAAAATCCGACAAAAATCCGATCGGAATCCGGCTTGCAGAATTTCGATCGGATCCGACAATCGCATACTCATACGCTTCCGATAACTTCCGATTGTTGAAATCCCCATTTATTCCGACGGTCGGATACCGATCGGATTTCTATAGGATTCCATCAATCTTTGAATCTGTGGTCGATTTTATTTATTATGATAATGTTTGGAATCTAAATTTTACCTTATGTGAGCCAGAAAGTTTCATGATTTATAGCCACTGAAACGTAGTGTGTTTAATATAGGTTTTGGATTAAGGTGCAGCAGAATAGTTATTTTTTCTAGTATATAATACCTTGATCAAGGAACTTATAAAATGCGGCTACCCGCGAGAAAGCTTGTTGACCTGATAACAACAAACTGTCTGTTTTCAACATGAGCACACAGGTTTCTATGAAGTACGAACTAAAAGAAGTGCTGAAGTACAGAAGTAGTAAGTTCGATTCTATGTTTCTGCCCAATTGACCAAAATATACACTAAAACAACATGTCGTTATCCGTTGTGACAAAAATCGTTTCAAACGTAGAATCTTTTCAGTATATTCATAAATTCATAAAACAGAAAATTTTTAGTTTCGAAACTGTTTAAAAAGGTCTGAATATGATATTGAATTCAGTTAAATTATTTCATTTCTCGAAATGGCAACAAATGTATACCTAGGTATCTCCATTCGAGCTTAGCACTGATATAAGTTACTATCCTATTGGATCACATCGGATTTTGAAAATTCAGTTCTGGAAATGAGCAAATATGCCTACCTTCATATCTCGCTTGGAGCTTATCATTGATATAAGTTTCTACCATTTGGATCGATGGGGATTTTGAAAACTGAGTTCTGGAAATGGCAAAAATGTACATCTACGTATCTCCATTCGAGCTTAGCACTGCTATAAGCTTCTATCCTATAGAATCCGATCGGATTTTGAAAAGTGAGTTTTCGAAATGCCGACAAATCCAAACTTCCATATCACCATTGGACTTTATCTTTGATATAGGTTTCTACCCTATAGGATCCGATCGGACTTTGAAAATTCAGATCTGGAAATGGCCAAAAAGGCGTACCTATATATTTCAATTGGAGCTTAGCATTAATATAAGTTTCTACCCTATAGGATCCGATCAGATTTTGAAAATTAAGTTCTCGAAGTGATCAAAAAGCCATACCTACATATAACTATTAAAGCTAAACATTCATACAAGTATCTATCCTATAGGATCCTATCGGATTTTGAAAATTGAGTCCTGGAAGTGATGAAAAAGGCATATCCACATATCTCCATTGGAGCTTACCATTGATATAAGCTTCTATCCTATAGGATCCGATAGGATTTTGAAAATTAAGTCTGGAAGTGGTCAAAAGGCATACCTACATATAACTATTAAAGCTAAGCATTGATGTAAGTATGTATCCTATAGGATCCGATCGGATTTTGAAAATTGAATCCTGGAAGTGATGAAAAAGGCATACCCATATATTTCCATTGGAGCTAACCATTCATATAAGCTTGTATCCTATAGTATCCGATCGGATTTTGAAAATTAAATCCGAAAGCGGTCAAAAGGCATACCTACATATAAATATTAAAGCTAAGCATTCATATAAGTATGTATCTTATAGGATCCGACCGGATTTTGAAAATTCAGTTCTGGAACTAGACAAAAAGGCGTACCTATATATTTCAATTGGAGCTTAGCATTAATGTAAGCTTCTATCCTATAGGATCAGATCGGATTTTGAAAATTCAGTTCTGGAACTAGCTAAAAAGGCATACCTATCTATCTGTATTCCAGCTTGCCATTCATATAAGTTTCTATCCTATCGGATCCGATCGGATTTTGAAAATTGAGTTTTCGAAATGCCGAAAAATCCAAACTGCCATATCACCATTGGACTTTATCATTGATATAGGTTTGTACCCTATAGGATCTCATCGGATTTTGAAAATGCCCAAAAAGGCGTACCTATATATTTCAATTGAAGCTTAGCATTAATGTAAGTTTCTATCCTATAGGATCCGATCGGACACTGAGAACTGAGTTCTGAAATGGCCCAAAAGCCATACCTACATACTTCTCTTCAAGGTTAGCATTCATATAAGTTTCTATCCTATAGGATCCGATCGGATTTTGAAAATTGAGTTTTCGAAATGCCGAAAAATCCAAACTTATATATCACCATTGGAATTTACCATTGATATAACTTTCTATCCTATAGGATCCTATCGGATTTTGAAAATTGAGTTCTGGAAATGGCTAAAAAGGCATACTTATATATCTCCATTAGAGCTTAGCATTAATATAAGTTTCTACCCTATAGGATCCGATCAGATTTTGAAAATTAAGTTCTCGAAGTGATCAAAAAGCCATACCTACATATAACTATTAAAGCTAAGCATCGATATAAGTATCTATCCTACAGGATCCGATTGGATTCTGAAAACTGAGTTCTGCAATTGGCCGAAAAGGTATACCTACATATCTGTATTCAATCTTAGCATTGATCTAAGTTTCTATCCTATCGGATCCGATCGGATTTTGAAAATTGACTTCTGGAACTGGCCAAAAATGTATACCTACATATCTCGATTGGAACCAAGCATTGATATAACTATCTATCCTGTAGGATCCTATCGGATTTTGAAAATTGAGTCCTGGAAGTGATGAAAAAGGCATATCCACATATCTCTATTGGAGCTTACCATTGATATAAGCTTCTATCCTATAGGATCCGATAGGATTTTGAAAATTAAGTCTGGAAGTGGTCAAAAGGCATACATAATATAACTATTAAAGCTAAGCATTGATGTAAGTATGTATCCTATAGGATCCGATCGGATTTTGAAAATTAAATCTGAAAGTGGTCAAAAGGCATACCTACATATAACTATTAAAGCTAAGCATTCATATAAGTATGTATCTTATAGGATCCGATCGGATTTTGAAAATTCAGTTTTGGAAATGGCCAAAAAGGCGTACCTATATATTTCAATTGAAGCTTAGCATTAATGTAAGCTTCTATCCTATAGGATCCGACCGGATTCTGAAAATTGACTTCTGGAAAAGCCAAAAAGGCATACCTATATATCTGTATTTCAGCTTACCATTCATATTAGTTTCTATCCTGTAGGATCCGACCGGATTTTGAAAAGTGAATTCTGGAAATGGTCCAAAAGCCATACCTACATACTTCTCTTCAAGGTTAGCATTGATATAACTTTCTATCCTATAGGATCCGATCGGATTCTGAAAATTGACTTCTGGAAAAGGCCAAAAAGGCATACCTACATACTTCTATTCAAGGTTAGCATTGATATAACTTTCTATCCTATAGGATCCGATCGGATTTTGAAAATTAAGTGCTGAAAATGCCGAAAATGGCATACTTATATATCTCCATTAGAGCTTACCATTGATATAAGTTTCTATCCTATAGGATCGGATCGGATTTTAAAAATTCACTTCTGGAAATGGCCCAAAATTCATACCTACATATCTGCATTGAAACTTATCATTGATATAACTTTCTATTCTATAGGATCCTATCGGATTTTGAAAATTCATTTGTGGAAATGGCGAAAAATGGAAACCTACATGTCGCCGTTGTAGTTTACCATTGATTTATGTTTCAATCCTATAGGATCCGATCGGATTTTGAAAATTGAGTTCTAGAAATTATCAAAAGTGTGTCTCTACATATCTCGCTTGGAGCTCATTGTTGATATAAATTTTTGTCCGATCAGATCCAATGAGATTTTGAAAATTGAATTCTGGAAATAGTCAAAAATACATACCACTATGTCGCGATTGAAGGCCATCGTTGATATAAGTTTTTATCTTATCGGATCCGATGGGATTTTGAAAAATGAGTTCTGGAAATGGCGAAAAATGCATGCTTCTATCTCACATTGTGGCTTAGCATTGACATAATTTTCTATCCTATCGGATCCGATGGGATTTTGAAAATTGAGCTCTGGAAATGGCGAATAATGCATATTTATATCACACATTGTAGCTTAGCATTGATATAATTTTCTATCCTA